AAATAAATAAATAAATAAATAAATAAATAAATAAATAAATAAATAAATAAATAAATAAATAAATATATATATATATATATATATACCTATTTAAATGAATGGTCCCTTGGGGAGGTTTTTCATGGCCACACTGAAGCCTATTGACTCCAATTATCTCTCCAAATATCAGTTATTAGAGTAACACAGAGCATCCTTAAAAATAAGATGATATTTATGTCAGGCCTGGAAGCCATCTTTTACATTGAGCCTTCAGGCCTGTCACATTTTCTACTGTGGGAAAATGGGAGAGGAGATTATATGGAGTTGGGGAGATATATAGTTTAAATAACATTCCTTTCTCAGAGAGTCAAGGACAACTTGCCCTGCAGCTGGAGTGGTGTGACTGGGAGGCATTTCAGTTCGGACGGTGCCTGATTGGACCATGCGATGGACATGTGGGTGCTGGGCAGGGACTTGAACTTTCATTTGGGTGGGAGGGGGGATTATATGGCATATGGGAGATATATACTTTTACTTGGAAGCCTGACATTAACCCGAATCTTTTTTTCTGACCTGAACTGAATCCAGCTTGCTGGAGTAAAATTTATGGCACAAGCCACTTGAAACACGTTTTTAATTCATTAAGGTGGTCTGCCCTCCAGAGTCCCTTGCCAAAGATGGGTGATTGTACAAATCGATTGATTGAATATATGAACCAACTAATCCTACTTACCATGAGATGAAACTGAAGAGTTAGTCCTAGTTAAAGGCAGTGAGGTATTCAAGTTTGTTTTAGGCTGCATCTTCAGTTGTTTTTGTTTTCCTTTTGGGCTGAAGGCATGGAAGAAGGAAAACAAATTGAACACCCAGAAACCTGATTAATCATAAGCAGCTTTCTACACAGTTTTTTTTCCTCCCCAGTTAGACACTGTTCTGGCCCTTCTTTTCCTTCTTCCACCTTACAAAATCTGGCCTAAATCTGATCTGCAGATCTTACTCTCTGCTATATCTTTCATCGCATGATGCATTGCAGGGTCTTTAAAAAAATCTGCTTTCTCCTTTCCCTTCTAAAATCTTCCCATTGATTTTCTTGTGGGTGCAAAGGGCTACAGAGTGAGCAGTACAGTGGATTGATGGCCACAATTAAGAAAGAAGGAGGGCACCAAATAGAATAGGAGAATAATAGGAGGAGGATAAGATAGGATAAGAAAAATAGATTAGAGTAGAGTAGAACAGAACAGGAATAAGAAGAGTAGAGTAGGAATAAGAAGGATAGGGTAGGGTAGGATAATAGAAGAAGGATAGGATAGGATAGGATAAGAGTAGAGAAAGTAGAGTAGAGTAGGAATAATAATAATAGGGTAGGGTAGGGTGGGGTAGCGTAGAATAGAATAGAATAGAATAGAACAGAACATGAATAACAGAATAGGCGAGGTGAGGCCAGAATTGAAAAGAACAAAATAGAACACTTTATTTGGTCAAGTGTGATTAGACACACAAAAAATGTCTCTCTGGTGCTGAAGCTCTCAGTATACATGCAAAACAACAGAGTAATCATCTTCATCATCATGATACCCACAAGAAAAGTTAGTCGGGGAAGATGAGAAGGACAGTAATAACATAAGCACGATTTCACATGCAACAAACCCATCTTCCTACCTTGGCGCTCTGCTACTAGAAGAAGAACCGCTGCTGCTGCTTCTGAGCCGTTTTCGGTACCGTAACCGCGGACGTCGCCTCTTCTGACACTGGACAGCTGACTTGTACTCGGAAATGATGGTTTTGATGTGGTTTTCAAATAAGGCAGAGAGTCGGAGTGTCATGCTATAGATCTATGGAAGGAAGGAAGGAAGGAAGGAAGGAAGGAAGGAAGGAAGGANATTATTCTTTATATTATTCATGTTGTCTTGTATTCTTGTATAGACTGCACCAGTAGAGGCTAAACCAATTTTGTTGTATACATGATGTACAATGACAACAAAGGCTTTGAAATTAAATGAAATGATATTAATTAAATTAAAAGGAAGGAGGTAAGAAACAAGCACTATTTACTTCCTTCTGGAATTGGTTCCATGTCCCAGGGGCTCATATTTTCTCTTTCATTGTTGTCCCAGCTGCAAAATAACAACAATAACAACAATAATAAAACATCTCAGAAATAGCTTAATCAAGTTAAGAAATGCACTGCAAGATTTTGGGGAAATTTTCTTGCTCTGCAAATTTTGTCGAGATCCGGTTCATATATACATGATTTTTTATCCGTTTGTCCTCCTTATCCCCATCCCACTAAATTTGTTCCCATTTTGCCTATCCTGCCAATAAAATCATAACCCAGTGTACATAATTTATTTCCAACTTTACACTGGGTTGCAGAGACTAAAACAAAACATAAAAATCAGCTTTTCATGGCAATTGAGCAGAAATCTTGTATTTTAAGAAACGGGACACAAATATTTTCAAACCAGCAGATTATCAATGCTCACGATTACTTAATTTATGTACAAAAACTTGGTTATTTCTGGGTTGGTTTTTTTTTTTTTTTGTTTGCATAAAATTCCGACACTTAGATTCATCCTTACTGAACACTGTAGCACTGGAAGGAACTGTCTGGATATTCCGCTTGGAATGGCTGTTGACTCTCAACGGTTCCAAACCACCACGCATCATCAATTATGCTACGAAATCTATCCCCTGCAGTAAGAAAGGCAGAGAGAACAAAGTGATATCTACAGAGGCTGGTAGAACAAAGTTGGAAGGGACCTTGGAAGGCCTTCTAGTCCAACCCCCTGTTCAAGCATTCCATGCCCTTTACTGTTTTGGACCAATGGCTGTCCAATCTCTTCTTTAAAAAATTCCAATGATGGACCATCCACAACTTCTGAAGGCAACCCATTTTCAGAATCTATGTTTTTTGGGGTATCAAACTTTGAATGGGCAGCAGGAATTTTAGAATGATTTGGTTTTGAAACCATTTGTTCTGCTCACCCAAGTGAGTGCAGAATATACGTAATGTTGCTGTATCAGATTAGACCGGGAAAAACTTGAAGGTTTCACAGTTAAAACAGGCAAACATACCGATCTGCCAGTTTCTTTCTTTGGCTTCATTGTAAAATTGATGCAACACAAGGAAGTCAATGACGTCAGGCATGTCATGATACCTGGGGGGGAAAAATGACACAACTCAGTCAAGAAGAAGATGGAGGTGGTAGCAATAATAATAACATAGGAAACAAAAGAGGAGCGAAAGAGGAGTGGGTTTTTGCAGGAAACAATTTGTTCATTCGTTTCAGGAGTGTGAAGATCTGTCCATGAATCTCAGAGACTCTGTGCCCAGTCTTTCCTTGCACAGCACCTCATTTGGAAAATATTTNGAATTGCATTAAAGAGTGATGTGGACCAGAAAGTTTGCCAACCTTATATTGGTTTGCTTATTACTCATGTTCCAGGAGAAGCTAATTCCTCAAGGTGTTTTCAGTAGGATGAAAAATCTTAATAATATGCAACCAAACAAAAAAGGAATCTTTTTTTAACCAATTTCATTGTATTTATTTTGTACAATGACAATAAAGACTATACTATTTTAGCTAGAACGCCTGATATTGACAAAGTCTTCTTTCAGACTTATTACAGGTAATCCTTGTCTTATAACGCCAAAATAGGACCAAGATTTCTGTCGTAAAGCAGACCAACAGATTAACAGAGTTGGAAGGGGCCTTGTAGGTCATCTAGTCTAACTCCCTCAAAGCAGGAGACCCTACACCATTTCTGACAGATGGCAGTCCAGCCTCTTCTTGAAAGTGAAGCTCCCACAACTTCTGAAGGCAACTTCTGTTTCATGGGTTGATTGTTCTCACTGTCAGAGAATCTCTCATTTCTAAGTTGAATCTGAGGTGCTTTGGAGAATAGCTTGAGCCACTCCACTCTGGCACAATTAAGAGAATTGGTTAAAAAAAAAGCTCTTCCTGGAATGAAGGAAACCAACAACTGTTTTCAGGTAAGCTCTGAATTTTAAAACATGACACTATGGTATTTAAAATCTGCAGGGTTGGGGTGGTTTTTTCATGTGCATCTTAGGCAAGAGATAAATAGAATAGCATCTTAGGCAAGAGATAAATAGAAAAGATGGCCTGGAAGCCATCTTTTGCATTGGGCCTTCGGGCCTGCCACATTTTTCTGCTGTGGGAAAATGGGAGAGGTAGGATTATATGGAGTATGGGAGATATATAGTCAAAATAACATTCTTTTCTCAGAGAGTCAAGGACACCTTGCCCTGCAGCTGCGATGAGGTGACTGGGAGGCATCTCCAGTTCTAGAGGGTGCCTGATTGGACTATGTGATGGACTTGTGGGTGCTGGGCAGGGACTTGAACTTTCCTTTGGGTGGGGAAAACCTGGAAACTTTCAGATTCGGCTTTTCCCAGATGTGCTAATATGACATCTCTAATAAAATGGAACTTTGAGGAAACTCAAGAACTCAGAGTCTTCTTTTGTTGGGGGTGTTCCTTGGAACCCTGCCACCCAGATAATAAATAAATAGGAGAATATAATGAAAGGTCATCCAAGCATTCAGCCTTCTGACTACCCTGTCACTACTCAAAGCTTTTGAATTGTAGAACGTTAGCTTCCGCACCGGTCCTAGAAGAATGAAATATTGTTGGAAATATTAAAAAGGCATATATTACATTTTTCTGGATAGAAATGGAGAAACAAGCTCTTGGAAAGCAGCCCTCACCTTTCTTAATAGCCCTCAGATGATGTCAGCGTCAGGCAAGCCACATTTAATGCTCTGGGAAAATGGGAGGGGGATTATATGGAGTACGGGAGATATATTATCTATCTATCTATCTATCTATCTATCTATCTATCTATCTATCTATCTATCNTGGTAGCAATAATAATAACATAGGAAACAAAAGAGGAGCGAAAGAGGAGTGGGTTTTTGCAGGAAACAATTTGTTCATTCGTTTCAGGAGTGTGAAGATCTGTCCATGAATCTCAGAGACTCTGTGCCCAGTCTTTCCTTGCACAGCACCTCATTTGGAAAATATTTACACGGCAGTTTTCCAAGCTAGGTAAGGTCTGGGGTCATAACTTCACCTTTGAAAGACTGCTGAATGTAAAGGAAAGGAATTCACATTTGTTTAATAAAAGGGCTTTTGTCAGGACCAGGAATCTGCTTCATGCTTTTTGAGGAAGCCTAGATCAGAACAGCTGATCAAAGGGGGATGAGCCCCTGCTAATTTTGCTCTTCTCCCACCCAGAGAAAACTGAGTTCCCCATAAGCTACCACATTATTAAAGCAAAAAGAAACAAAGGGGGGGGGGGACACACACCACAATTCACTTCTAATTTAGGGCAGTGTTTCTCAACCTTGGCAGCTTTGGAAAATATTTACATGGCAGTTTTCCAAGCTAGGTAAGGTCTGTGGTCATAACTTCACCTTTGAAAGACTGTTTGCCAGGCCTTTGCTGAATGTGAATGAGAAGAATTCACATTCGTTTAATAAAGGGGTTTTTTGTCAGGACCAGGAATCTGCTTTGGGCTTTTTGGGGACACCTAGGTCAGAACACCAGTCCAGGCAATTGCCAAGAACTAAAAACTGATTTGAAGGCACCACCATAAAAAGAACAACAAAAGTAGCCATTGCTTAGGAATTGTCTCCTTCAGCAACAGTTTACAGTTACGGTGATGAAAAAGTAAGTTGGACTAATCCTTGCATTTATGACCTTCACAGTTCTGTAAAGCAAAGGAAGTAAGAGCAAGGAGGTAAGTGCTTATACAGAAAGATCACTTAGCAATTGTTTTTGTTTAAGGACTTAGTTGCCAGTCCCAACTGTGGTTGTTAAATGATTAAAAAATGATTTAAATGTCTATAGTGACCAATGACTGGGTGGTTCATAACAATCCAGAGACATTATAATAAAATTGTTAAAAGATGGCAAGTGCAACGAAGTGAGGGGGTCTCACACTCCCCATCCTAAAATCCTGTATGAAGAGCCAGGTCTTTATAATTTTTCTAAACATGATACTTTTGATTTTATTTAAGCATCACTTAATGCAACTTTTTGGGAACCCCTAGCAAAAAATAGGATTGGAAAAAGAATGGGAGGGGAAGAAAGTCAACAGCTCAAAAGCATCACCATGCAGTTTTAACTGGAGCCTTAGCAAGCCACTCACTTTATGGAAAACGATTCCCCTGTCATTTTGCCCGAGATGGGGTCAAGAAAGGCAAGCTTCAAGCAGCACAGCGTAGGTGGTCCAACTTCATACTTAATTCCCACAATCTTCACAAATTCTTGTTCCTGTTGGTCAAAGAGCAGAAGAGATCAACAGCTTTAAAAATCAAATTGCCCCCCTGTGGGGCATGGAGCCCCACGTTGAAAACTACCAATTTAAACGGAGTGCGCCTTTGTTAAATTAGCATCTAAGATAGAAATGTCTTCTAGCTCAGATTCTAGCAAGACCAGGAATGAAATATGGATGCCATCCCTGAATCCTTAGAATCAGAGTCAAATCAGGATAAGGTTATATATACGGAGCCACTGTACTGTTCCTTTGCTGGGGGCTTAATAAACAAGGGAAATCCACCCCCCACCCCCGATCACAGCTTACTGTTATATGCTGAGTCCTTTATTGTTTTACACCTATAGACAGAATCTTGTTAGCTCTTTATTGTGTGAAACAATACAAGTTTTAGTTTGGAAGAATTGCCTTGGTTTTGGACACACACAGTGTCCTATTTTCCCTATATCATGACATATATAAGTGGACTCAGGATTTATTATTCATATTTATTCTATTCTATTCTATTCTGTTCTGTTCTAACCTGTTTTCTATTCTTCTATTCTTCTCTCATTTATCTCAGGGTGGATTTGATTTAAATCACTAGTAAAAAGGCTTGATTTAAATCAATGTATAGAATATATAGCCACATGCTACATAACTAAGCTCCATTTCATGTTGAATAAATGAAATTATTAATGTATCTTAAATATAAAATCATCTTTTGACAGATTTTTACTCCAAAAGCATTTTATTAGAATAAATTTGATAAAAATAAAAAAATCCAATTTAAATTTTAAAAATCCATTTTTTAATATTATTATTTTTTTAAAAAAAACATCGATTTTTATCCACCCGGATTTATTTATTTATTGGATAAACTGCACTGCAGAAGACAATCCGGCAGATGTGTCCACATCCTATCAAACTTCTTTGTCAAAGGCAGGGCTGTTTTCAAGAGCTCTTGATATACAGGCAGTTGCCAGGCTCAAATCACAGCACCTCCAGGCAGGACTGGGGAAAACCTGGAAACTATTGCCTGAAAGCTGCTTTTGAATAGAACACAGCTGGCTGGGGAATTCTGGGAGTTGAAGTCCACCTATCTTAAAGTTACCAAGGTTGATAAATGCTGGGGTAGACTAATGATTACTTGATATAGAGAGTACATTCTGGCCATAATCAATAACCCACAATAAAATCCTCTTGACTGCTTACCCTGAGTTCCATTTTATTCCATGGCTGCTTTTGTATGTTAACACTATAAATTTTTGCTTTCCGAATTGCCCGCACGTAAGCTTCGTGCCCTTGCCTGAAATAGATTATCTGGAAGGAAGGAAGGTGAGAAAAGAGGGCTGTTTATACACTGGCTTCAGAAAGCAATTTCCATTAAAACGCTTCAAATACTGAATCCTAAAAATAAACCATTTACTTGTTTAAATTACTGCTCAACTTTGGAGCTCCGGAAAGTATATCATTTGCATATTACAAGAGAGAAGGGTTCCTGGACTAATATTTGCTAATGAATCGTAACTTCACATGTTCAAAGTCCATTTGGCTGTTTCATTAAATCATAGGGGGGGAGGGGATGAAAATTTTGCACGGTATCCAAATCTGGAGACATAGTCTGTTGCATAAAGTAGATGATAAGTTGTGTTTTGATCAAAAGAACTCACAGCTGCCTAAGCAGGTGAGAGGCTTATGTATTTTGAACATGCAAAGGAGCATTGGACTGAGACGGCAGCATAACTGACACTGGATTCTAGTCCTTGGGGACACTTATTGTTCCACTTGAGACAACCTCTGCCAATCTGTTTGTAAGCCAAAGCAGAACATCAACAGGGCTGAAGTGTTTTCCAGTTTTACTTTACTTTCAAGTCGTGAAAAGGACAGCAAACTCAGAAGGCCTATGTTTTTATAAAAGACTACCAAATGAACTTACTTACTTACTTTCTTTCTCTCTCCATCCATCGATCTAACATCTATTCATCCATCCATCCATCTCATCCACCCGTCCATCCATCCATCCATCCATCCATCTATTCATCCATCCATCTCATCCATCTATCCACCCATCGTTCACCCATCCATCCATCCATCCAACATCTATTCATCCATCCATCTCATCCATCCATCCTTCCAATATCTATTCATCCATCCATCTCATCCATTTATCCACCCATCATCCACCCACCCACCCATCCACCTCATCGATCGATCCATCCATCCATCCATCCATCCATCCATCCATCCATCCATCCATCTATCTATCTATCTAACAAATTTATATAGCCACCCAACTCACACATAGGAGACTCTGGGCAGCTTACAAACTGTAAAAAAATTTAAAAGCTCAACATATAATAAATAATTTCTTCAAAGTTGCAGCCTTTCAGTAAACTCCTCCCCATCCCCCAAAGTATTTAAAATATTGCTGGTATAAATACTTTATTCCAAATAGCATTCTTTGTCTTGACATAATTAATTACTATACTTTGAATCTACTGTAGTCATTCCCCAAGGTAGAGTCCAACATGGAATGAGATTGTGCCAGCATGTCTGAAAAGATTTATCCCTTCAGTTTTATTATGGATGGCTAAAATTATTTCTGTGAACTTCATCGGAGGGTTATCAATCAATCAATTTTTATTATGCTCACAAGTATCACTATAAATAAAGCGTTGAAAATAATAAAAATAAATAAAAGAAAATAGTTGTGTGATTAGTGGTGGGTTATCGGTGGGTAGTTAAGAGTTTGCCCAATTTTGCATACAGTATGGCCACATTCAAAGAAGCTCCTTCATGTTGACCTGATAAAACTAAGGTAAAGGTAAAGGTTCCCCTTGCACATATGTGCTAGCCATTCCCAACTCTAGGGGGCAGTGCTCATCTCCGTTTCAAAGCCAAAGAGCCAGCGCTGTCCGAAGACGTCTCCGTGGTCATGTGGCCAGCATGACTCAATGCCGAAGGTGCACGGAACGCTGTTACCTTCCCACCAAAGTTTTTCCTACTTGCATTTTTACATGCTTTTGAACTGCTAAGTTGACAGAAGCTGGGACGAGTAACAGGAGCTCACTCCGTTACACGGTTCTAGGGATTTGAACCACCGATCTTTCTGATCGACAAGCCATCAGTATTTCCTGGATATTTTATTAGATGAGATGTTATAAATTGAGTCCATGACCCCTTATAGCAGATGTAGTATAGTTATCGGAGGTTAACTTGAGCCAAGAATTGAAATCTGTGAGTACCTCGTCTCCCATTTGAGGGACAAAAGGAGAACGCCGTGGGATGGTATCCAAGATCCAGTGAGGAGCAAACCATTCTTCTGTAGGTTCAGCATCCATGGACAGCAATCCACTGGGTTTCTTAAAAACGGAAACATTTTTAAGTTTGAATACAAGCAGAGAGACCGAGTAACTGATGCACAGATCGTAAGGCGGGTGGTGAATGACCTTGCCTTAATCCAACCTTTCTAGGTGGGTCTTCTTTGAGACTTGCTTACCTTTTTCCGAGTCTGTTTGGGTTTCTTGCGCTTCTCTTCCTGTCCTTTTGTCTCTTTGACATGCTCATCCTCAGAGCTGCTGCTGATCTGGCGAGCCATTTGTCTTGTCTGTCTTTTCGGAGGTTGGAGATTGATCCCAGCGTCGGCGGTCCAGTCAGAATATTCACTAGACGAATCACTGGAATTGTCACAGAAAGAAATAATAAGAAAAAATGGGTGGGATTAAATGAAATTCGAAGGGCTACAAAGAGAAGTTAAGAGTGTGTTGCCTATCTAGAAGTAGCCGTACAAAGGGAAATATTATTCGTCTCAAGTTTATTCCTTTCTAGTTTAATACTAATTTTTTCTCGTTTACCAGTAATTCTAGTTAAATTGTCATTTGCCACCAAATTCTATTTTCTTCTTTCCTTCCGTTCAATTGTGCCAATTCTCAGAGATTTAGATTAGATTTAGATTAGATTTGTTTTATTTATATGCCNAGCGTGGTCACCTCATGGCTGCTGCTGTGTTGCAATATTTTCGGGGAGGGCTTATTTTCAGGGGAGGGGTTATTTTAGCACATGCGCTCAAAAGCCCGATTGGGTTTTTTATCTGGGGAGGTCTTATTTTGGGGAAAACAGGTGAGTCTTTTTATCGTATTTTTCCAGTAGAATGCCCAACAAAACACCTGTGAAAGCTTCAAAATCTAACAAAGCGATCTGAAGGATATGCTTATTAACCCAATATCAATTGATTTAGCTGGTCTGACTAAGGAGAGACTCTGCCCCACATTTTTCATCCCGGATGTCAAAGGAAGGATATTAAAACTTACTTCCCCTGAATCTCATGGAACATTCTTACTCCAAAATGTACTTTTGAGCCCAGAAATGTGCCAGATGCTTTTTCCACCCTGTGTTAGTGGCTGGAAAGGCCGAACTCTGGGTGAAAAGAGCCTCAGAGACAAAATTGCACCTTCTCAGGCAGTTGTTTTACCCGCCCTCCCAAACTCAGAAAAAAAAGCAAAACTTACAGGGTAAGAAAAGAGATCAACGGGTTGTCGGAATGGCTCAGAGTCTTCCCGCTCATAGATCAGACTTAACAATTGCTTGCAGTGGTTTTTCCAGGAATCAACACATCCTTTCGAGGGTTGCCTTTTCATTTGCCGTTTGACCTTAAGATTTTTTTTTTAAATAAAGCAAAATGTGTAAATTGAATAATCTCTAAAATAATAATCTCTAATCTCTAAATCAGTGGTTGCCAAACTTGGCAACTTTAAGACTTGTGGACTTCAATTCCCAGAATTCTCCAGCCAGCAGAGTTGGCTGGAGAATTCTGGGAGTTGAAGTCCACAAGTCTTAAAGTTGCCAAGTTTGGCAACCACTGCTCTAAATAATCTCTAAAATGTTTATTTTCATCTCATTTAACAGGCACCAGGTACCCAGAATCATAGTAGCACAAATGAGTTATTTTCTTTAAAGATTGCCCATAAGATAGGTAACTTTTAAATGGAGTGCTTATTAACCCAATATCAATTTATTCAGCTGGTCTGACTAAGACCAGATATGTGCCAATTTGATATTTCCAATAAAAGTATTCTTTGAGGAATTCAATTGCCTCGGAGTATTGCTTGCTATGGATTTATTACTTGGAACCCTGACAATTCATGAGAGAATTCTTGTTCATGAGAACTGACTTTTTTTAAAGGAAGAGGAAGAAGCTTGGTTTTCTAACTTAAGAAGCATTATATCGCACAAAGAAAAATCAAGGGGCATCGGATGGCCACACGTATCAATCAAAGTATTTTTGGGAAAAATAAGTGCACAGCTAGGCTTCAACGATAACTCAGTTACTTACTACTCGTTTTCCAGAGGAGGTTCCTGGGCCCTCTGAATCAGGAGACACTTCTGCCACCTATAGCAAAAACATGATTACTACATGTGGGAGAACATCTAAAATAAATTAATTCAAAATACATGAACAGGGATGCAGCGGCTCAGTGGCTAAGACGCTGAGCTTGACGATCAGAAAGGTCGGTGGTTCGAATCCCTAGCATTACCTAACAGAGTGAGCTCCTGTTATTTGTCTCAAGTTCTGCCAACCTAGCAGTTCGAAAGCACATTAAAAAATGCAAGTAGAAAAAATAGGGACCACCTTTGGAGGGAAGGTAACAGCGTTCCGTGTGCCTTTGGTGTTTAGTCATGGCGGCCACATGACCACGGAGACGTCTTCAGAAAGCGCTCTTCGGCTTTGAAACGGAGATGAGTACCGCCCCTTAGAGTCGGGAACGACTAGCACATATGTGCGAGGGGAACGTTTACCTTTACCTTACATTCACACATGAAAATTATGGCCTTGGGCAAGATCTTAATATTTGGTGGGATCCCAAATCATCCATGGGCTTTTTGAGGGGCAAGACCAGAGCAGCTAGTTCTGCAGTTTTCTTGGCCAGGTTTTTCAGAAGTAGTTTCCTAGAACCCTAACTTTTGGGTTTCCCCCCCACAAATTCACTTCCGGTCCAAACCAATCCCCAAAAGACCCTTTTCTTTTTACCTGCTCTTCTTCCTCTGTGCTACTCAAGTCTTCTGCTTTCACTTTGTTGTAGATCTCCAGAATATCTGTACAACTCTGATCCCTACAGAGTAAGAAGGGGATCGGCATGAGGGCGAAATAGAGATTAAAACAAAAACAAAATAAAACCTCCTCCCCAAAGCTTATTATGGTCGTCAATTCCTACATCAAAGATTCCATTAAATGTTCATGGATCGCCTAGTAGGGATTCTATCGTAGGAAGAAATTTTTCCATGTGCCTTTTTTTGTTAAAAAAAACTCCATCAAGAGACATGCACACATAATGAAACAGGGGAGGAAAAGATCCGATCCAGGCAAGTTTTCAGAACAGTATTTCCTTCCGCCACAAAGGAACTGACTGCTCACCCAATGTAGTGCAGTAAAACATCGGTGACGATTTTGGCTGCTTTGACAATAGGGCTTTCGGGCTCATTGAAAGTCCTTGCGTTATGTTCAATGTATCGTACCTCCCACATTAATGCTGATATTCTCCTGGAAAAGGAGAGAAGACAAAGACACTTGTTTGGATTATCTAGGCAACTGAAAGAGGTTGGACAAGATATACTGTACATGGATTCTGCATCAGGTGTTTTTAAAAGCAATTTCATTTTTTAATACAAGTTTTAATAAGAACGAAAAAACTATGTGTTATGGAGATAAGAAAGCATTCTGGCCCAAAATGCCATCACACAGAACCCTGGCACCATTCCTTTCAAGAGAGCCCAGAACTTAGTCAATCTGGAACTGCACCCCCTGTGATTTGTTCTAAGCATAATCCCCAAAATTGTCTGCTATAATGTCTTGCCTGTCAACGACTTCTTTAGGTTCAACCACATTAATACACGGGCAAACAATCGATACAAACTCAAAGTAAACCAAACTCGATTGCAGAAAATACGACTGGAAGGCTCTACCCGACTCCATTGCTTCAGCCTCAAACCCTCACAGCTTTTACAGCCCTCTCTAAGCGGTTTACAGAGTCAGCCTATTGTCCCCCAACAATCTGGGTCCTCATTTGACCCACCTCAGAAGGATGGAAGGCTGAGACAACCTTGAGCCTGGTGAGATTTGAACTGCCCAACTGCAGCTAGCAGTCAACTGAAGTAGCCTGCAGTGCTGCACTCTAACCATTGTGCCACCTCGGTTCATTGTTGTTACATAATTAACTCACTGTTGTTAGTTAATTAAAATAGTTTTCTTTTAAATCAACTTTGGTGGACTGCAAAGCCTATTTATAGATACAGAAAACAGCTAGCTTTCTGAGCGCATTTGTTAAAGTGAAGTACTGCAAGTTACTTCTGTTGAATGCTGATGCCAGCAGTTTGGCAGTTTAAGCCCCACCGGCTCAAGGTTGGCTCAGCCTTCCATCCTTCTGAGGTGGGTAAAATGAGGAACCAGATAGTTGGGGGCAATAGGCTGACTCTGTAGAACCGCTTAGAGAGGGCTGTAAAAGGACTATGAAGCGGTATTTAAATCTAAGTGGTATTGCTAGTACTAGTGCTAGCTACTGAAGGTCACACATCCTGAATCCGGATTTGAAAAATTAAAATTAAAAAATCAAACATTACAAATATCCTTTGTGTTTATTAGCAAATTAGTCCGTTCAATCAGAAGAACTCTGGTTCCCTTATTATTATTATTTTTAAATCACTAGAACAAGTTGTAGCAGAAGTTGTTTAGCATAAAACCAAACAATGCTAAGAAACTCTTTTATATACTAGTGACCATTCATCCAACCTGTAAAATCTGTTTTCAAGTCTTCTCCTTATTGTGGTGAGATCAGTTGGATAAGCAACCACAGTGCAATACAGAGGATAGGCCGATAGGTCGACTGGAACTGCAAAGGGATTAGAAATCTCTGCAAAATACAATAAAATAAAGGTGAATAAAACTTTTAAGGAAGATGGTAGACGCATTATGCGTTTAAGGGAAAAAACCCCTCTCTGATAATAAATGTGAAGTTTGACTTCATATTACTCTAAAGCCCTAATACGAGGTGATGCCCCAAAGATAGCCTCCTAATTTAAATGTTGACAAGTAAGAATCAGATTTCTTCTGTACGTGTTATGATGCTTCAGCGAGGCCTGCGGGCCTGGAAAGTTCATCATTTTTTTATGTTTTGAAAGATTATTCCAAGGAATTACAAACAGGAATAACAGATGCCTCTTTAATGTTCTGCAATTGATAGTGTCATTTGGTTTCTTTCTTTCTTTCTTTCTTTCTTTCTTTCTTTCTTTCTTTCTTTCTTTCTTTCTTTTCCTTTCATTTGTTTTCTTTCTCTTTCTTTTCATTCTCTTTCTTTCTTTCACTCATTATTTCATTTTCTTTTTCTTTCTTTTTTTCCTTTCATTCATTCATTCATTCATTCTCTTCCTCTTTCTTTTTCTTCATTTATAAATTTATATGCCACCCATTTCACTTCCCAAAGTGACTCTGGACGGCTTAACAATTAAGAATGAACAATTCTGCTGATTCTAGCCCCCAACAGAGGCAATAGGAGAAATCCAGACCTTATGAGTTAATGTTGCCCTACCTAGAGAAAGAAGCTGATCGATGCCTCGGAGAACTCGCACGCATTCTTCATCTCGGGAATGGGAGCCCCATTCTCCTTCCTGGGGCTTGTATAGCAGAGAGGCCAATTCCTCGCTAGTCACGGGGACTCCAGCCCCCACCTCATCTGGATAAGCAGCTGCAGGGGAGAGGAGGAAGGGGAAGGAGAGTGAGTGACTTGGATGCATCCAGTTGTTGCATCATGGTAATGATATATTGTTATCAAGTGTCTAAAGCAACGCTATCCATATTTCAAGGTGGCGCAGTGGTTAAATGCAGCACTGCAGGCTACTGCTAGATCAGCAGTTCAGCGGTTCAAATCTCACCGGNATTCTATTCTATTCTATTCTATTCTATTCTATTCTATTCTATTTTCTCCATAGGCCTTGCTTCTTTCTACCAAGAATTTCCCTACATCTAAATCTTTCCTTTAATGTATTCTCTCATCCATCCATATATAACATGGCTAAATTTCCAACTGGTTAGTGAAGAAGGTCTGTGCCTGGAAAAAATATATTCCCCTTTTTGAAAACATTCCTCACCCTCTGCAAAGTATAGGATGGCTTCCTCTTCTTTTCAAGGGTATACAGGTGGATTTCCAATTCACCTTTGGCTGCTCGGCATTCTTCCTGAACTCTTTAAGAAGAAAGATCAAATTTGGGTTATTGTCCAAATATTTTCAAAGATCTCCTGTTACTTGGTTCTAAAGCTTTTTTTTTCCTTCCAAGAAAGAAGGATTAGTAATTTTACCTACGGTCCATGGCTGAAGCTTTCTACTATGCCCTTAAATTGCCTAGACTTTTGTTTTTCAACCTTGGGAATGTTTAAGATATGTGGACTTTGATTCCCACAATTCCCCAGCCAGCATCCTGAGCTAATTTCACAAGGTGCTAAAGAGCCTATAAAAGCAGTCCTCGACCTAGGACCACAATTGGGACCGGAACTTCATTAAGTGAGGTGGTCATTAAGTAAGACATCCCATCACTATGGTTTTACAACCTTTTCGGGCACAGTCGTTAAGCACATCTGGATTTCCCTTCTTACTTTGCTAGCAAGGAAGTCCCCTGGGGAGATCACACAAAGGATGATCAAGTGACCCTGCAATGCAACGGGTTGTAAATACATGCCAGCTGCCAAGCCTCCAAATTGTGATCATATAACCAAAGGGACAGTGTGATGTGATAGTTGCAATGGCAAGAACTGGTTGTCACATTTTTAAGCACCATCGTAAGTTTGAATGAGATGCTGAGCTTGTCGATCAGAAAGGTCGGCAGTTCAGCAGTTCGAATCCCTAGCACCGTGTAACGGAGTGAGCTCCCATTACTTGTCCCAGCTCCTGCCAACCTAGCAGTTTGAAAGCACTTAAAAAATGCAAGTAGAAAAATAGGGACCACCTTTGGTGGGAAGGTAACAGCATTCTATGCACCTTTGGCATTGAGTCATGCCGGCCACATGACCATGGAGACATTTTTAGACAGCGCTGGCTCTTCGGCTTTGAAACAGAGATGAGCACCGCCCCCTAGAGTCGGGAACGACTAGCACATATGTGCGGGGGAAGCTTTACCTTTTAAGTTTGAATGGTCATAAAACAAATGGCCGTAAATTGAGGACTTAACCCTAGGCCCATGATGGCAAACCTATGGCACGTTGTCCAGAGGTGGCACTTACAGCTCTGTGGGCATGCGCACCGGCCAGCTGCTCTTCGGCTTTCTGATGCACCCGTGTGCATGCACACATGTTCCAGTTTGGGCACTCGGTGCCAAAAAGGTTTGCCATCACTGTCTTAAGCAGTTTTTTTAAGCAACCCCCAACTTCCTTGACAAAGCCTTTTTTCTTTACCTGCTAAGTCCAGGAGGCAGCTCATTTACTACTACTCTCCTACTCCATGCCATGAGATCTCTCTCTGTGGCCATCTGACTTCTAGGAGCATTGTGGTGCATCTGACGGACACCTTCAATCTGGCCACTCCGTCTGAGCCCGACATTTGTGGGGGAAGCCATATCCAGGCTTGGGCTCCTCAAAACTGCCAAAACAAGCAAAACAAAATCAGAACAATAAAGGAGAATATTTGCAGCTCAAGGCTGAAATGCGGGCTCCTTATTGCTTTCTGAGCTTGGAGGTTTTCTTGCAGACCACAGATTAACAGAGTTGGAAGGGACCTGGTAGGTCATCTAGTCCAACCCCTCACTCAAGCAGGAGAGCCTAATACCAGTCTCTCCTTGAAAGCCTCCAGGGATGAAGCTCCCACAACTTCTGAAGGCAACTTCTGTTCCATTGGTTGATTGCCTCAGTCAGAAAGTTCCTCCTTATTTCTAGGTTGAATTTCTCCTTGTCCAGTTTCCATCCATTATTCCTTGTCTGGTCTTCAGAGGCTTTGGAAAATGGCTTGATCCCATCTTCTCTGTGGCAGCCCCTCAAATATTGGAAGATACTTCTCATGTCTCCCCTGGTCCTTCTCTTCATTAGATTAGCCATGTCCAGTTCCTGCAACTGTTCATTGCATGTTTTAGCCTCCAGTCCCCTAATCATCTTGGTTGCTCTTCTCTCCACTTTTTCTAGAGTCTCAACATCTTTTTTATAATGTGGGGACCAAAACGGGATGTAGTATTCTAGGTGTGGTCTTACNAGTTGCCTCCTGAAAAAAAAGCACCTTTGGAGCAACCATGTTCTGGATGACTGAGAATCTCTACAGATGTTTAGCTATACAATTTGGGATGAACATCCTTGGAATGGTGTGGGAGTAGGGATGGATTTCCAGATGAAAAAAATGCAGACCAGAGGAACCAGGAGCACCACTCAGGTGACCCCGAGGACACAGATAAACATCCAAGTGCTTCAACGACCCTCTAAAAGGATGCAAATGACCAGCTGTCTGCAAGGAATAAAAATCCTTCCCTTCCCCACCATCCAGTCAGAGCTGAAGAAGCTTCTTGGATGAGAAGCGAAACGTCTTCAAAAGAGAAAGCAAGAAAGTCCAGTTGACTTCTGGAAAAAAAAGCACCTTAGGGACAACCATGACCTGGATGACTGAGAATTTTTTTCCTTTTGGGTGAGGTCTTCCTAAATTAAGCTCAGCAATAGAAATAGCAAACTGTGGTTGTAAGTCAAAGACTCTGTGTTTGTGTTTGTGTGTGTGTGAAATCGTAAAAACAAAAGAACCTTAGGCAACCACACCACTAAAACAAATCAATGAAAGAAAGTCTGGGTCATCTCACCTCCGAGGAGCTCTCCGAGTCTTCCTGGGTGTGGGAACTTCTCCTTACGCTTTGTGAATGACGCTCAATGGTGGAGCGCGTCTGGTACGCATGCTGCCGCCTGCGCTGGTTTCTGCGCAAAGACCGCCCACTACCGGGTTGGTAATCGCTCTTTGAGAAGAACCAGGGGGGAAAAAAAGAGGAGTTGGAAATTTAAATTTGTAAAGGGAAGCGTTTGCTGCAAGGGAACGTTTTTAAGGCGAAGAGAGTTTTTATGTTCTTGAAGGTAGCTATGAATGGCATCTCAGATTCTAGGCACACACATCTGTCTGCCTGTCTGCCTTTTGGCTTCCTTTATGTAGGTAAACCACAACTACAAATCTGGAAATGTCTGCTACAATTTTGTTTGGGTTCAGGTTAACTCTGTTATTTTAAAGTTTTAGAATTTTAAAAAACCGAATCGTGTTCAAATACAAGGCTTTTATTTTATTATTGAGTCTTGTCATCTGCACCTCCATAACTGTCTGGTTTGGCTCTGCAACCCAACAGGACAGACACAGGCTCCAGAGGATAATTAGGTCTGCAGCAAAAACAATGGCTACAACCTGCCTTCCATTGAGGACCTGTACACTGCACAAGTCAAAAGGAGGGCTGTGAAAATATCTACAGACCCCTCACATCCTAGACATCTACCCTCAAAACAACGCTATAGAGCACTGCACACCACAACAACAAGACACAAGGACAGTTTTTCCCCGAATGCCATCACTCTACTAAACAACTAATTCCCACAACACTGTAAAATAATTTACTAAGACTGTATTACTATTATGTTTCTCTTCCTTACTAGTATCTATTTCTTCCCACTTATGACTATAACCATGTTGCTTGTATCTTTCAATTTCTATTGTTTTATTTGTTTCTTAGTATGATATGATTGCTTATTAGTAACCTATGACTATCNCCCCCCCCCACGGCGGCTTTGCCCTGCCTGCTGTGATCTTGTCACGTCGGGCTCCGTGGATGTTAACATCTCATTATCTTTGTTACTGTAATTACATTATCCGCTGCTTTATGCAGAATTATTCTCCAAGGACTAATTGATGGATCCATGTTTAATTCATTAATCATTAGCATCAAATTCGACAATTACAGTGCACACTGATTGTGGAATTTCAAATGTAATGAGGGGAGAATTAACAAAGCAAAAGCTGGCCGGGTCTCACCCGCCTTGGCTCGGCACCACGGGGGTGATGACATTGAAGCAGGGCAGGGATTGGGGAGGGGGGCATGGAGCTGCTCGGGAGGGGCCCCCACCTCATCCTTCTCTCTGAGAGCGGCCTTTGCCAGTCTGTGGGGCGACAGGGGCTGCTCCCCCTCTGCCGGTCAGGACTGGACCCATTGGCTCCCCCCTCGCCCCCCCTCTGGACAGGAGGTGCCCAGCTTCCTTCCTGAAGACCAAGGCAGAGCCTGCCCTGCAGCATTGCCCCCCCCTCCTCCTCCTGCCTTGCCACCTTCCCTCCTTCTGCATGCCCTGGATGGGGGTGGGGTCCCCTCTGGCCCACCCCACGGCCTCAGCTCTCTCCGCCTGTTTAGAAGTAAGAGAGAGTCAACCTTGCAGAGGGAAGGTGGCATCCATTGGTCCACTGGGAACGAACAAAACCAGCATCCTTTCCTTGGGTTCTCTGGGTTGGCAGCTTTCAGCGATTCTCAGTCCCCGATGGCTCCCTTGGACCCAGATCTCTCTCTCTCTCTCTCTCTCTCCCTCCCTCTCTCTCTTTCTCTCTTTCTCTCTTTTCTTACTGTTACACTAATCAGATCCCTTCTCTTTCTCTTTCTCTCCTTCCACTAATCAGATCCCATCTCTCCCTCTCTCTCTCTCTCTCTCTCACACTCTCTCTCACTTTTTCCTTCCTCTTCCACTAATCAGACCCTCCCTCTCTTTTTCTCTCGCTCTCTCTCTCTTGCTGTCTGTGTATGTATGTGTGTGTGTCTTCTTTCCTCTTCCACTAATCAGATCCCCCTCTTTTTCTCCCTCTCTTTCTCTGTCTCTCACTCACTCACTCACTCACTCTTTCCTTCCTCCTCTACTAATCAGATTCCCTCCTCTCTCTATTTCCTCCCTCCCTCCCTCCCTTCCTTCCTCTGCCATCAAGGTAAAGGGTGATCCTTCTCTCTATTTCCTTCCTTCCTTCCTTCCTCCCTCCCTTCCTCCCTCCCTCCCCCCCTTCCTTCCTTCCTTCCTCTGCCCTGCCATCAAGGTAAAGGGTGATCCTTCTCTCTATTTCCTTCCTTCCTTCCTTCCTCCCTCCCTTCCTCCCTCCCTCCCTCCCTTCCTTCCTTCCTTCCTCTGCCCTGCCATCAAGGTAAAGGGTGATCCTTCTCTCTATTTCCTTCCTTCCTTCCTTCCTCCCTCCCTTCCTCCCTCCCTCCCTCCCTTCCTTCCTTCCTTCCTCTGCCCTGCCATCAAGGTAAAGGGTGATCCTTCTCTCTATTTCCTTCCTTCCTTCCTTCCTTCCTTCCTTCCTTTCTTCCTTCCTTCCTCTGCCCTGCCATCAAGGTAAAGGGTGATCCTTCTCTCTATTTCCTTCCTTCCTCCCTCCCTTCCTCCCT